GTGCCGTCGTGTTCCTAACTGCAGTTATATACGCTTGACGATTGAGGAGAAAAAGCTTATTATGTAGTTTGTAAAAAGAGACAAGGCGAAAATAGCGCCTGCGCACTGTAAGATCAGGCGATTGTAGATGGGCAATTGCCCATAAAAGCAGTTTCCAAAAAGTCCACTTTGTGGCACACTTTTCTTTTATAGTGTACTTTACTAAATCTCATCAGGTATCGAACTAATCTATGAAACTAATAATAATAATAAGGAATAAGATTTAGTGATCCCACGGGTTTCGTATTAAAGTCTTTTGGGTGCTGTTTGTCGAAGAGGTTCGTATTAAACCCTTTTCAAAGTATCAAGTAAGTCATGAGATCTCGTGGCATGTACCGTAGGTGTTGAACACAACGATTCTTCTGCATTTAGAAAAATCATTGTTACTTATTGTATTTACTGATCTAGGTGTTGGAACATATTTCAATCTTTAAATAAGATTTCTAAATGTTTTGAGCTCAATTGCGTATTGATATATTGACTGCGTTTGTTGTATCAGATTTATTTTGCGTATTCATCTTCGTTCTTGTTAGCGTTGTTGATTGATTTGTTTCATTTTGTTTCTGTTTTAATTTTTCTAATTTATTCAAATATTTCTCAATCAATTTACCTTTAAACTTTCCGTTGTCTTTATTCATCCATTTCAAATCTTCTTCATGTCGCCTTGATGGTACAGTTGTTTCTAGATACCAGTTTAATATTGAGACTTGAGTTTTCACTTCATAATAATTATAAATTTCAATTGTCTGTGGCTTAGTTGAATCGTAGGGTGTTATCTCTATTTTTACACATAGTCTTTCAATAGTTCTTGATTTTTGTTTAATTTTGTAGAGTTCTTCAACTTTATTCCATTTGGGATGATGTTATGTTAAACACAACTTTTCCAAGCTTTAGCGATAACACAGGTTCCCCCTCCATAGAGCTTTTCGAATTATTGTCTTAATAAGAAGGTGTTTGACATATCTGACATGATTTTTCTTCTCTTCCTTATAAAATTTTTATAATTACTCAAGTGTACAATAGAGACGTTTCGTTGTCGACGACAGCTTCCTCAGACATAGCAACATTTAATAGATAATTAAGATTTAGTTATCTTTAGTTTGTTCTGTCCTAACTATGTGGAAATTAAATATCATTGTGTCTGAGGAAGTTGTCGTCAACAATAAAACGTCAGTATTCTAAACTTAAGCAATTATAAAAACATTTTAAGGAAGAGAAGAAAAATTAAGTCAAACATCTTCCTATCACGACAAGAATTCCCTTTTCTTCATTCTCATATTGAATATTGATGTTGTTACCACAGTAACACAATAAGCTGAGAACGATGCATCAAGCTCCTACTAAGTTTTTATTACGAAACCTGTTTTTGACAATAAAAAAACAGTACTTTATGAAATCTCGTTTGTGCGGAACTTCTAAAAGGTTTCGATTTCGTTTCCTTGTTCAGAACCTTTTTTAAGTTCCGTATAGTATCTATTTTTTTTCTAGTAAAAATCAGTCTAGCAAAACCTGATTTCCATTTTGGTCTTTGCACAATGATTGTTTGTAGAACAAACAATAAACCTATATTTAATGAATAAACATTTACAATAAACCTATATTTAATCTCGAAATTAACAATTGTTAATAAAAGCTTCCTTGCAGAACCGTTTTATTCCTAGCAAAAGAAAGGTTGATTAAGCATAGTAGTCTTTATTAGTCATTGTTTACAGAATATATATTAAATTTAACCTTAGCAAAAGAATCTTTCACAATCGTGCGTAACAATGTGCGCTGTGTAGTAAATGAGTGTAGTAAACTTTTTCTTTCTGGTTGCACATACTTTCATTATTCACCCCTCTCCAGCAACTCATGTATAGTCAATCATTAAACGTACTCCATTAGAGGTTGTAAAAACGTCTGCACTTATTTGATTCCAGATCACTGGTGAGAATTATATACTCGTACGGCAAGCATTTAACTGGAAAGTGATCGTTTTTCGTTTAAATTCCTTTTTCCTTCTCCAGCTTTTCAATTCTGCTGTCAGGTAATGGGTAAAAATTCTCGTGATGTTATTCAGGCGTCGAATGTCTATTTATTTAAAAATGGTTACGGTATGGTTGTAAAGACATTTGATTTGCCACCAAATGGAAATGATAGAAAAGCATTGGAAATAGTCGATCCACCATTGACACCTGTTCACGGCACGTTTTGGATACAAACAACACCTAACGGTAAAGTTAATCACTTTTTCTACAACACAATCTATATTTATGCTTCACATTTCAGTATCGGTGTATTCAATTCGTACAAAAAAGACACGCAAATTAGCGGATGAGAAGTGTGTCAATATCGAAGAATTAGTGCAGGCAAATATTGGAGAAAAGGTTGAATTATTAACAACTGGTCTCGAATCAACAGTAACACCTCAATGGATAACTGGTACAATAAAATTTACTCAAAAACATGATGAACACGTGACACAGACAATTAGTAGTCTATCTGGACAGACAACAGCACTATCAGCAAATGGTCATTTGGTATTTTTTGAAGGTGCTGGTGATCGAGCGCTTATGGCTGTGCCAATGTCCTCTATCCTTTCTATTCGCTCACCTAATCTAAAAACAAACTATCAGCGAAAAAGATAGTCGACTTTCAGTATCAAAAGTAAATTTTGTAAAAGAAATATCAGATGGCGTCATCACCGTTATAAATTTTAAATCGGAACCAGTAACTGTAGTTGTTAAAATTCAACTTCACGGGCAGTTGTCAAACTTTTCGCCGAAACCAACGATGGACGCTGCTAAAAGTGGTCCATTTATTAGAAATCGAATGCACGATTTAAGATGGGAGGTATTAATGGATGCACAACAAACAGTGGACATTAAATATACAAGAGCTTTTTATCGACGACAATAGAAACTGATTTATACATCTTCTTATTATATATGCCACCATAGAATTTTCATGTAATAAACAATAGTGAATCTCAATTTTTCAAAGTTGAGTAATGTGGTTTAATAGATAATATATCTTCTCTCGCGTTACATTATCATAGAAGGAAAACATTCCGAGATATACAATTCGGCTGAGCGAAAGCGAATGAATAATAAAAATTCCTTTGGAAAGAACGAATCACCTAAGAAATACTTCTTTCTCTATGATAATGCGTAGACGTGCAATCGAATTACAAACTGATCACTATGTATACGTCAGACTTCTCTCACATACAAAAAGATACTTGAAATTGATCCATCGCATTTTATTGCACCAATATAACTTCGTTAGGACTAACTAGTTATCTTTTCAGATTATTTTACCTCACTTTGAACGTTTGGGATGGAATTGATAGATTGCTGTGTAAAAGTTGTTGACCTCGAAACTGTTCTTTTAGAAATCCTCTGAAAAACCAGTTCCAAAAAGGACGGGTATCGGTTTCTACGCAATATGATTATGTATGAAAATGATTGCAAATGTCTTCTACTTTACTTCCAGATACTTTTGACTTTCAAAAACTATTCCTGATCTCCTTGAAAAAAATTATATCTGACCAGTCTTCGTCACCAGTTCAAGGGAGGTCATTCACTTTGTTTCTCAAGTTTTTCATACAATTTCAAGGTCTTTGATCAAAGTTCATACATAGAAAGAGAGAGAATCTTCCGCGCTTCAAAACGAGCTATTGACACGCTTCGCAAACAGATGCGCACATAGAACAATTGTCAAAATAATTTTGGCCCACCCTAGCACTTTATTGTAGCACTCATTTGTAGCCCTTTCAATTCTGCATGTTTCTAAATACAAACTATTCCTAATTTCTATTTATGAAAGAAACTGTGATTATTTTTATATGTGCCAATGAGTAAAAATCGAGACATTTATCCAGTATTTAGCCAATAAATCTATGACGACAAACTTTCAAAATAAAATGTTGTAGTTCATTCTGAAGCCCAGAAAATTCTCTATCTTCCGATATCTAAAACATCCTGAGTCTGAGTAGATAAGTTCAAGAAATACTCCTTTAAAGCAATAAGATAAGTGAAAATCATTATACCGGCTATGTATTTCGACTAGTGATCCATCTGGGCATATTTTTGAAAGACTTACTTAATGAAGTCTGAATAATTCTCTATCTTTCTATATATAAAACGCGTGAGGAGAAGCATCAAAGAGGTATTCCTCTAAAGTGCTAGGGTGGGCCAAAATCATCACCTCTATCTAGTATTTTCACAATTGTTCTATCTGTGCATCTGTTTGAGAAGCTTGTCAATAGCTCGTTTTGATGCGCGGAAAATTCTCTCTCTTTCTATGTATGAGCTTCGATCAAAGTCCTTGAAATTGTATGAAAAATTTGAGAAACAAAATCATTCAAAGGTTATTCACTCATACCGTATAAATGAAAAGAATGAAGTCAAAAGAATAGAAGAGAAAGCAATATTTTCTTGCTGTAGAAAGAGAATAGAGATCGGTAGTCATTCACCCACTCACTCACTGCGTGTCACTTTTTCGTTGTGTGACTCGAACGGACAGAAGGAAAAAAAATGACTCGCAGTGAGTGAGTGAATGAAGGTGAGGTGAATTCTGAAATTTCATGAACGAGTAAGATGAAAATGCACTATCCTTTGCAGATTCGATTTTTGCCTGCTCTTTTAATTCGAAAACATCTATCCCTACCCTTAAAATGTAATCTGTGAAATAGATACACATCGCTCCTATACGATGTGATGATACATACGTCATTTTACTTTACATTCCTCATGTTCAATAGATAATGAAAACACACACATGTTACCTGATATGACCCTTGAATTATTCAAACAAAACCTACATCTATGACATCTGACGATCCATTAGCCGAGATGAAAATGTGATAACGATTGCTGGACTTGCTCTGACTTCCTGTATTTTCCGTACGAAACTTTTACTCCATTATTCATAGAATTAGAAAAGCATTGGATTGTGATGATTCTATTTGTACTCAAAGACCAGACATTGTTAGGACAGCTTATGGTGTTTGAGCTGAAGTTGCCGTCCACAGTTCAATTTATGTTTAGGCTGAATTGAGTGAAAGTGATGGCGTTTTTGAAAGGATTTGCCGATATGTGATGAAATATTTCAGAGCTGACATGAAACACGAAGGAATTCGACCTTGAGTCACTTATGTAAGTGAAAATGACAATGTTGGAAAAATCCTTCGAAGAAGGAATCGTTTTGTAAGTATGCAGCAAGTATATAATGTGATGACTAATAATGATGGTGCAATAAATAACCATGATAAGGCGAAAACGCAGCCTACATGTAAGGGTTTATTCTCATTTTTTTCTCTCAACACCTTATCTTCGGGAATTAGCAACTATAGGTACCATAGATACCATTTTTTCTATAGGTACCATTGACTATAGATACCATTTTGTAGCCCGTGAAAGTCTCTATCGAACTTTATATGAAATGGAGAAGGTAACGAGAAATAAATGGATATTATAACCGATTTTATCTCTTATTGGCCCCGTCCTTTGACTATGGAGGTACTAAACATTTGTGCAAATCGCTAATAGCATATAAATTCACCTATTATCAAACAACAAATAGAGAATAAACAGGAACCAATAACTGACGAATATGTTTTGAAAGCTGCCTGGCTGAGTATTGCTATTATTGATCATGATGGAGATGAAATTAATGAATCAATTTAAAATAGTTAAAAGGGACAAGAAATTTGAATAAAACAGCTAGATCTAACATTTTCATTCAAGTGATAGTCTGCAGATGGTGAGTCAATGTGCCGATTTTTGGTCTTGCTTAATTCTGTTTAAATTTTTTCTTCTGTTAACATGTCAAAATTTATTTGTTGGAATTATTTTGCTCTGATCGATATACGCATGTACAACGTGAAACGCGTTTAATTCATCACATAAATCGGTTTAAAAAACCGAAAGAAATATGAAAAAGGTGATTCAAGTTTTCTACATCATTATTTCTAACTAACATTTTTTAACATCCTGCTATGTAATCTAAAGTTAAAAACACAACACGCCCAGTACAAGAGCTAAAAAACAATAGAAAGAAAAATAAACAACAAAAAACCATGTTACAAAATTTTTTTATTAATTAAAACATTTTTACACTATAACAGTAAAAACGAAAACTGTTTATTGTTGAATAGAAGTTTAAGAAGATTACTAGTCAGGTTTTGCTTCTTATAAAACTTATGATTATCAAAACCTCCAAATTCGTGCTAATTTTGACAAAAATCTAGCTAAAATACACGTAAAACCCGAGATGAGAAATTGATGGACATGGGCGTCTACAGGGTGTTACAAAACTATTACGCCCCCTCTGCGACTTAACCCTTTGACACCCAGTGGGAAGCATACTTCCCACCTCGAGAATTTTCAAATCTTCGAGTTTTTGCGAACCTTAGAACAATATTTTCAATAAATGTTAGAAGGTAGCAGAGGTCCGTACAAGATTGCACGGATAATAGGGTATATGGAGGACGTTGAAAAATGCACCATGCCAAGTTTCTTTAGTCTAAAAAAGTTTTAACCGCA